AAATTAGTGGAGGTTCGCTCGTTAAAAGGACAGTTTTCAGTTCTACCCCTGGTTTCTGTTTTTCCGATCCCGGCTTCTGTTTCATTAACGGGGGGGGGGGGGCTGTTATCTGCAGGAGGGGGTATGTGAAGTTTAATGTTAGTTCTTACCGCTAGCAACCCAGTAGAGCATCAAAAATAATAAAATTTTAATTCGAGATCAAAACATAGGGATTTAAGAAAGTTATAACAAAAGCATAAATAACCCCCCCCCCTGAAATTAAGATTCGAACTCTATTTTTCGTGATTTTCCATAATTCCCGATATTCAGTTAACGCTATTCGATAGAGCGTCAAAAAATATACTCAGATTTGTATATGCAGCTTACAATAATGCATAAAATAAAAGTAGCTGCTGACAAAAACAATCACCCCCCTCTGCTAATGAAACAGAACCGTAATATCTTCCCGCATTCTAGTTTCTAGTTTACAAATTATGTATTAGTCATTTATGTTTTTCTTTGCTATATCTTTTGACCTAAACATATATTAATTCTTGCTTTTCAGTAAACCACCTCGCAGCCTCCTGTCATGTCGGAGAATCTCTCGTCGAATGCCTTCGACTTCATCTTTATCCCGGACAACTACTCCATGACGTTCCGAATCGAACACGATGCGGAGAACTTGTTTCCGGCTGTACGCCCTCTCCCTCAGCGCCTCGCCGAAGCCAATGCACACATCTTGCAAGATCTCCCCGCCAACACGCGGCTCTTATGGCATGACGGAGGTGCCGGATGGAGCTGCGGAGACATCTTCACCAACGAGGATGGCAAATTGGACACTTTGGCCCTAGCGCCCGGGACGTTGACTCCAGAAATCGTCCGCTTCGCCAACAAGCATGCCCAGCACGTCATCAGCCTCGAGCACGATCCGGAGTCCATGCTCGCTCTCTTGTGCCCAAATCTTCAATTCACGTTCACGCCGGCCCAAGTTCAAAATGTTGGGCCCTTCCTGGAGAAGCTTATTGCCGAGTGGAAAGCCGGAAAGCGCACGATCGTAGTTGCGACCACTGAGGTGATTGCGCTTTGCGAGCACGGGTATCCGATGAGCCCGAGGAGATCCACTTCAGATGATGACGATGACGACAACTGGCTAAAGAAATTCGAACACGTCAGGGAAGATGGGCAGCGCCTATACGTCTGCCATCCGACGCCCAGGACCTGCTACTTGAGCGAGTCCGACTCGATTTACGTTACCGCGGAATGCCAACGTGCAACTGGTAGGATTTGATGGTCCTGCTTTGTATACCTTTCATACCTTTTCTACCTCATACGTACCTCTCCGCTTGTTTTATGATTTTTTTCTATTGTCCTCGACCTTCTTTTTATCACCTGTAATGTCGTCTTCCGATACCATAACCTATTTCTTTCCTCTATTAAGTCCCCGCCACGTTCCTTTCCCTTAAGCTCAACCTTTTCCACTATTGAATGGCTTGATCACCCTTGTTATCGCTAAACGAAGCGCTTTCGCGTTTCTATTTCCGCTTTCTCTCTGTCTATCTTGCCTTTAAATTTTTCTTTGCCTTCATCTTCACTTTCTTCTCCTTTCAGACCGAAACTTTCCAATTTTTATTAGTCTCATTTTCTACCTACGTTCCAGCCAGCTTGTCTTATTTTTACCCCCTTTATTCACCCCTGTTTGTGACTGCTGTGTGACAATAAACTTTTGTTGAAACAAGACTTCTTTTGAATTCAGAAAAACATGGCAGCTAATTAAAAACACGGGTCCAGCTACGACTAGGGTTTAATAAATGAAAAGCGGACACCTGTTATTGCAGAAATCTGTAGAATTTTCAACCATTTTTGCACAATGACGCCTAATTTGTAGCTTAGGACGGAAAGCAAAATTAGCGGGAACGGCACTGAAATTTATCGGTAGCTTAAACCCGCATTAAAGACGGCGCAGTTTCAACAAAGTAAAAACTGAACAGGTATATATTTTCGCTTTTGTAATCGAACAAGTATAAAATATTTTGTATTGTTGTTTACTTATTGTAGTTCCGGTTGCATTGGGATAAACAACAAACAGGGTTTCTACTTACTAGGGGTTCGGCGAGACGGGGTGTTTACCCCTATTGCAACAAGTGGCACGCAGCTGTTGGCGGTCTGTTGATGGATTCGCGGTAGATCGGCACTTGCAGATTGCTTCCGTTGGCTACCAAGCAAGTTAGCTCGGCCTCTTCCTAGCCACCACTTTTATTTTTTCTAATATTTCTACCTTGCTATCGATTTTTCGCTTCAATAAAAGATTGCTGTAATGCGATAACCAATTTTTTATGGTATTTTTCTTTTCTTAAACATAAAAACCATACAAAAAAATATTTAAAAAGTGTGGCAAATTGGTGACTTTTTGGAAAATGGCCAGAAAAACACAAAAATTTTCGAATTTGCAAAATATAGTTTATGACTTTCTAGCAAGGAAAAAATGCTAAAAACTCCATCAAAATACTTTATATATCAATCAGCTGGAAGCAGCAAAAGCAAAAAGTGGTCCCCCGCTAAGGCCTAAATTCGGAACGTGAAACATTAAAATAGCTGCCAATGGGGTTTTGTGCAAACTGTAACTTTCAATAACGCTACGCTTGGTCCCCACACACTTTCTTCTCATTTTCGAAACTGGTCCAGGCGTTTTCGTAAAGCCTGGGCCCCTCTTTCGGGCGGCCATTTCCTCGCGTAAGCACTTCTCTTTCAGGAATTTCTCTTTGCCTCATGAAAATACTATTAGCTGGGCAAGCCGCTGTGAAGTTTCAAAGTTCACACTTTCCTCCCCCCCCCCCCTCCCCCTCCCCCCCTTTCTCTTTCTTCCCCCCTCCCCCCCCCCCCCCCCCCACTTTTCTATTTCTTTGTTTCTATATCGCTGACTCTCTCTTTCGCTCTCTCTCTCTCTCTCTCTCTCTCTCTCTCTCGCTCTCTATCATTCGCGCTATCTCTCGCGCTCTCTCTCGTTCTCTCTCTCCTGAATGAACTACAAATTTTTGACCTTTTTCAGTCAATCCTCATCATGGATCTCATGGCCCTGCCCTACAGCTTCCAGAAGAACCTGGTCAAATGCATCTCCAACCTCGACGTTGTCAGCCAAGTGCGATTCTCCCGCACCTGTCGCCAGTTCTCGGAGATGACCAAGAGATTGGCGGACAGCCACAAGGGCTTCGGCTTCATCCTCGATGGGAGTAACTGTGACCCGATGCTGATCCGGGATCGCGAAGCGCTGTCGGGCACGGAAAATCTTCTGCCAGCCCGGTTTTCCAACGCCCCCATCTTCCAATACTTGCCCAAGAACTCGCGAATGATCCTCTCCGGGTACTTCCACGGGCCCGACGAGATATTCAACCGAGAGATTCAGCAGCAGCTCCAATTCAACAACCGCAATGCGACAAAATTCTCGCATGCCGAAATCGAGGACGGCACCAAGATTACCCCGGAATTGGTCAGCTTCCTTAACAGCTACGTCGAATGGGTCATTTGCCCAAGTACCCATCTGGAAACGATGTTCGCGTTTTCGATGTCAAAAATGCGCTATCGATTCCAGGAACCGGAAGATAACGAAAAAATTGAACCCTTCATCGAGCTGCTCATATCTGAATGGAAAGCTGGAAGACGTGAGATCAAATATATCGACGTCAATATCCAAAAAGGGCCAGATGACCCCTTTGCAAACGTGGATCGAGACCCGGCAGAAGAAAACAAATGGGAAATTGAACACGTTCGCGATGATGGGATGAAGATTGTACAAAGCTGCAGCTGGGGGACCCACCATACACTTGATGTCCCCGGGCGCCCGATGTCGGAAGAGGAGCGCCGTCTCGCTGCCGAACGGGCTATGATTTATATGCTTGGAGGGCGATTGGAAGAGTGATTGTGTTTATTAGACGTTTATGTTGCTCTCTCTCTCTCTCTCTCTCTCTCCCCCTCTCTCTCTCCCGCTCTCTGTGGCTCGCGCATTCTTTTGCTCTCTTTCTCCTTTTGTCTGTCGTTCTTGTTCGCTCTTTACCTCACTGATTTTACCTCAAAACCAAGACACTATTTTCGTCATTTTTAACTTTACAACTTTGTTTACTTTGTGCCAGCCATATTGTCCATTGTCGTGTGACAATAAAAGTTAAAAAACCCACAAAACTAAAATTCAAAAAGCATCAGAATATGGTACAGATACAAAACCTTCCCTTTCTCGCTCTCGCACGCGCGCGCTCTCTCCCTCCTCTCTCTCTCTCTCTCTCTCCTCTCTCTCTCTCTCTTTCTCTTTCTCATCCTCTCTCTCTTTAACAACTCTCGCTCCTCACGCTTGTTCCCCTTCTCTTTTCTCTCTCTCTCTCTCTCTCCTCTGTTACTCTCTCTCTATCGTTCTCTCTTTCTCCTTGCTCCCGACCCTATTTTTCTGCTTCACAAGTCCATTGATTTCATAGATGTTTATTCAATATTTTTTGAAATCTGAAAACTACACACGAACACAAATAAATCGATCGAAAAGTGCACAAACCCTACAATGCGTCGAAATTTGAATGAGCAAGTAAGTAACATCAAATCCGGTAATAAATACGGTACAATGTTTCGGAAAAAATTACTTGCGAAAAACACGGTCAGAAGAAATCCACCCGGCGGAGATCGTTTTTGGGGGGTTTTGTTTTGGCGGGAAAAGCATTGGAAAAATTATGCAAATTAGCTTGAAAAACATTTGTATAGAATTTCCTAAAAGTCACAGAGAGCGAAAGAATACAAATGGCAAACGGACGAATCAGGGGACAGCACTACCCACACACGGAAAAATATATCAAAATTCGATGAGCAAAATAGAAGACCAAAAAAGTTTATCATGCACGAGAAAACACAAGAAAACAATGATAGTTTAAATGGATACCGTACCCGATTGCAAATGTATTATGTGTTTTTAAGGAATCGATAAGAAAGACGAGAGCGCGAGAGAGACAAAGAGAGAAAAGGAGAGAGACGGAGAAAATGTAGGGTTATAAAAGATCCTTGAAGCTGTTCCGCGCGTCTTCTTCGTCGAGGTTGACGCTGCTGGAAAGACTTGATTAATTCCAAATCTCAAAGCTCTTTTTAAAAAATTAAACTAGAGAAAATCAAAATTAGAAAAATCCTTAAAATGCCAAAGTCTCCTTTAACCGACTTGGTCTCGACAACTACGCGGCAATCCAAATCACGTGCAAGCGCTACAAAATTTCCACCCATCTAACGTATTTTGGGGTGTCGCGTATCTGTCGAGGCCCAGTCGATTCCGGCCCTTCCAAGTCCCTTTAAAACCCACTGTGTCTCATCAATCTGATCATCCCCCTCCGCTTCCATAAGGCTCTCGTATTCCTCGGCGCAGTACCGCTCCCACTCGGTCAACTCGCGGCCCTCATCGTTTCGGACGACAGGTCTGAAAGAAAATAAATTGTAAGAGGGTCAGATACTATGACAAAAATACCGACAAACAAAATACCGACAGTCCAAAATTTAACTAGCGAAAACCCCGCCAGGAACGAACTGGTACCAACCACGAGGCACCGTGAGAGCTACGACTCAGATTTTGGAATTTCGGTTTTCCGGGTTATAGCTGTTGGTATTATTTGAGCAGGATTAGGATGGCTTTTAAACTCACTTCTCGCCCTCATTGATCTCCTGGCTGAAGAACTTTCGCCAATTCGTGAAACTGTTGAAAAAGCGATAGGTTAGCGGGCACTTCTTGAGGTCGGACAGGGTGAAGCCGTTCGGGTTCTTCGGTCGGATCATGTCGAGCAGCTGAAAAGTGATCGTTAGACTCCTTATGTCACGCAGCCTCTGCTTCTCTAGCTCCCGCCCCTCTCTCGCTCTCTCTCTCGCTCTCGTCCTCTCCTTCTCTTCTCTCTCTCTGTCTCTCTTTCTTTCGCTCTCTCTCTCTCTCTCTCTCTCTCTCTCTATCTCTCTTTCTCTTTTCAACTCACATTGCAAGCGACATCCCCAAACTGCATGGTGTCAATTTTGTTGAGGGTGAGCTTGTCTCGGACTTGGCCGTACATCTCCTCCATCTCATACAGCGTCACTAGGCCGTCACCGTCCAGGTCACAGATGCGGAACCAGTACTCGACACTGAAAATAGGGGGTTGGAATCGCTCTCTCGCTATATCTCTGATTTTCTCTGTCTCTCTCTCTCTCTCTCTCCCTTTCTCTCTTTCCCTCACCTCGTCGGGTTCTTCTTGTCCTCATCAGCCATCAGGAAAGCGGCGAATTCGGGCAGTCCAATAAATTCGACCAGGTGCTCGTTGCGGGAGCCTCGTACCACAGCTTTTGAGAACATCCGGTTGACGACAAGTGGGGTGAGGGCTGAAAAATCTGATTTAGTCTTTCTCGTTCTCTCGTCGTCGTCGCTCTCTATCTATGCCTCTCTCTCGTTCTTTCCCCTGAATTTTTACCTCCTTCATCATGGGCTAACATGTCGCGCTTGGAGATGAGCATGTCATGATCGTCGTCGAGCTCCCAGAATTTACAGTAGATGACGTAGAAGTGTTCATATCTAGAAATATATTGGTTTTCAAGGGAGATCGGCGGCAAGTTATGGTAGAATTCAGTTCAAAGGTCTCAAGAACTTACGAGAAGTACTTGGTCTCCTTGTTGATGTCGTCCTCCTTTTCCAAAAATCGGAGCTGAGCCAGCAAGTCGTTCTTTCGCAACTCCTGAGCCGTTATCCGCCCTGTCCACGATCGATTTGCGCTCCAGAAGATGCGGGTGGTCACCTGAAAATGGAAATTCAGAATCAAGCACAAGTGCAAGCAGTTCGGATCCTAATACCTGGTAAGCTTTAACTTACCACATCAACATACGAGGGGTGGAACTCGGTGGCAGAGTGGTAGAACGCGAGCCCCGGATGCGTGTAGATGACGTCGTAGCAGAGGCTCTGGAAGTCTTCGCGTTCCAGGTAGTCCTTCTTGCCGCCGGAGAGGGCGTAGATGAACCGGGCGGCCTCGTCGTTGGCCACGGAGGTCATGTTGCGCCACCAGATGCAGAACTCGGTTTGGGTGACATCAACGTTCTGAAGAGGTACGGATTGTGTCATTCGTTCGTGAGCAAGAGAGAGAGAGTGAGAGAAAGAGGGAGAGAGGGAGAGAGAGCGGGATAGTCGATACCCACCTTCTTGTTGGTGATGGCGTCGTAGATGGGGCGCTTCCAATAAAGGGGCAGACCGACGGCTTTTATTACCTAAAAAGTAATGCCGTTTTAAGGTATTTTACGTATCAATGAACGGTTTTAAAAGTTGCTTAAAACAAGAAGATGGCGCGCGAGGATATTTGGAACTTTTGAAGCTCGCCAGAGATTTTCAATTAATTCTTGTTAATGAACTGACCGTCTCGAACTCGTTGACGGACGCCTTCTGCCCGGGCAACTTCCTGAACACGTCCAGCGCCTTCCGCATCGCGACATCATTCTCGTGCTGGGACACGGGCTTCCCCTGCGGGAAGTGGAACTTCGGGACCGGGACTCGAGCGGCACCCGGTTGTTGTTGCTGCTGTTTCCGCAGGCCGCGCGGCGTCAACACCTTCGAGTCGGCCGGCTGAAATATGGATAAGCTTACCTAGCAATAAATTTTTAAAAATTAGCATTAGGGCCTTGCATTTCCTAAATTTACATCCCCGTGAAAGTTGTCAACCCGATTACCTTCCTCCTAATGACTAGGCTACTAGCCGAAACGCGGTGCATTTTTGGGAATGACAAATAATTTCTTGTAAATCGAACTTCGAACTTTGTGTCACGATATGTAAATCAAACGCTTGAATTCTAAAAAATGTAAATAAAAATTAGTTAGATTTATTCTCCGTTCCGTTATCCGTCTAAACGGCCGAGGAAGGGTGCCATTTTCCCCGACGAGACACTCAACGCGATGCCAGGTTTTCATTACGTAAAGCCTCATGAGCGCATGGGTGCTGCGAAAAAGGCGCGTTGTGTGTCGCGGCAAAGCAAAATCAGCAGCGACACAAAGCCAATAAATCTACAGTCATGCCTCGCCAGTTCCTTTAAGCTCCACACGCTACATTTAAGCTCCAAAACGCTCCCTCCACTCACCTCATAAATCGAGCTGGTCATCGGATCATTTGCCGGCTTTCCATTAGGTAACGGCTGTGCAGCACCCTCCTACAAAATGACATAAATTTTATCGAGTCGCAAAAACCGGAAATCATATTTCCAAAACATACCCGCTTCTGCGGCTCATTCCTTGCCGGCTGGATGGCTGGGCTGGCGGTGGGGCCGGTGCTGTAAGATGTCGATAAAATCAGTTTTTGCCGGCCCGGGTTTTGGCCGTGGGCCCGGGAAAAGCTGCCGCGCCCAAACGACACATTTCTTGAGGGAGAGAGAACGAGAGAGAAGGAGAGAGAGAGAGAGAGAGAGCCATGGACAAGTTGAGGATTTGTTTGAGCGCGCGTTTTTGAGGGGGTCCCTAGCTAAAGCACCGCCGCGGTGATGAGGCTGATGAGCAGAAATGACGAAAAAATGAGGGGTGTCGGGGGTAAAAAAGGTGTCAAGTGTGTGGGTGTGTAGCTTGGCGCCGGCAAAAACGAGGGAAGAGACCAATTTTGCACAGGATATTTGATGTTTCTTTTAACTTATTTTTCAGCATTTTTTAAAGAAATTTTCAGATGCCTTCACGGGCTAAGGAGCTCAGGATTCGACCCCAGCTTTTGACTAGGTGTTGACAAACGCGATCGATTAAGTTTGGTGCCAAATATCTGTAGCCAGTTGATGAGATGGGAATGGAATCTTGCGCTTGCCAGTCCCTTTAAGTCGCTGGCGGTAGCAGTCAAAATGCCATTTTAAAGGAACGGTAACATTAAATCACAGAGCCGCATGTGGCGAAAAAATTTTAAAGGACCGGTGAAGTCAGCCTCCAAAGCATTTTCGAGATTGATCTTCAAATTTACCTCTTCTGCCCGACGTGATTTTGCCCGAATTGTAGGCGACCGGGGACATTTCTAAAGTAATGCTTTATTCCTTAGATTGCCGATTCTAGATCACTGTATCAAAATTATAGAAATTTAAGGTGTGGATAGGCCCATAGCAAAATTTTTAATGTCAAAAACTTACCCAGCAATTGCAGTATTGGACGTGGCCTGGGTGATGATATGGGGAGTAGTAGTGGGTTGTTGCTAAAAATTATCCATAAAATAACGTAATTCATAAGTTATTGTTCCGCTTGTTTTTACTCCACTAAAACTAAATTTTTAATGTAATTGAAGCTGCCCAATTTTGTAAACAGAAAATGACAGAAATTACCAAGGGACAATAGGAGGATCAAGTAACAAGTTAGTACAATACCTACCGTATCCTCAACAATAATGACACTTTTCCGGCGGTCAGATACCACTCGGCTGACGACGGATTGTAGGAATTTTCCAAAAGATTTGGAATGGCGACGACGACGTGGTTTTTTGATCGGTTCTTGGTGATCAACATCTTTGTCGACAAGGGCTGGGACGCAGACACGGCGAGATGAAAGGAGAGATGAACAGTCGAGGGAGACGGCATCGGGAGGGAGAGGCATCGAGGGACGCTGGCCCGGACCGGCGAGCGCCAACATTCTGGGAGGGTACGGTATGTTGAGCATGGCATAGAGAACGAGGCCAGAAATCGCGTTAAAATAATTCAAACTGAGCTTGAGGTCGAGGTACTTTTAAAGGAAAAGGGTATGTGCGCGGCCCTTCGAGAGAAACATAGTGAGAATGAGAGACAGAGAGAGAGCAAGAGAGGGAGAAGAGAGAAAGCGGGAGAAAAATAAAGCTAGAGACAGCGGTAGAAAGCTGGCGTCTACTAGATGGCTGGAGAATCGTGAGGTCCAAATAGAAAATGAGCGAGGGAAAGGGCGAGAGAGAGAGAGAGAGAGAGAGAGAGAGAGAGAGAAAAAGGAGCGAGAGAGTGGATAGCGAAAATTCACGGTTTGTCGCGTCTCCTTTAATGGAAAAATATGCCTAAGGCTTAGGTTGAAACACTAAACCCACAACTTCCCTATCGTCCACTCCACAAAAATCGAAAATGCATGCCCTTGTACCCAAAAACACAACAAACTCCAGAATTCCGAACAGACCACCATCGTCTCTAAGGCTTTCCGCTTGTCCACAAACGTCCGCCTAATTGCGGATTCAAATTTTTAAATAAGCCTCGCAGAGGGTGGACAGGGCCCCAGAAAAATTGATGACCAGGATCCGGGGATGAGGAAGTGTCATTAGGGGGGCTGGTGAAGTCTTTTCTTTTTCTCATTTCTGCCCCATTTCACGTGCATATTTGAAACATGCGGGAGGGGACGTCTTGATGAGACGGAAAAGACGAATTTATGAATAAGTGATACGTTCCTAAATTTTGAAATTTCCAGGTGGGAATCAGATGTTTCGGGGATTTTGTGGGTGGCTAGAGGAACTGGGCGGAAAAGTGACGTTTTAAAGGGATGGGCAAGGCATATCTATGGATTTTTGGCCGTTTTTTCGCACGCGATACGCAATGCAAGGCTATTTTACGAGAAACAGGGACCCGATTTGGTTACGCAATGAAAAAGGTCGCGTGTTACGGTCGCTACCAAGAGAGGTCTAGAGTTGTCAAAATCCTTCTTCTAACCTGGCTTGCCGGTTCCTTTAAACCTGAAAAATTCAAATCTAACATTTTTAATGGAATTAACTATGAAGAGGTTTTGGAGTTCCAAGAATCTTAGTAGTTACTGTAAAAATCTTTAACTGTTTTCGAAATTCGGAGATTTGAAAAATAGATAATTTTTTAGAAAAAGACGATATACCTTACATAATTTATGCATTGAAAATTTACTAGATAAACATTTTCAAGTAAGATTTGAAAAACTCGAGGAACTGCGAAGCTTTGGGCCTTTTTACTGCTTGGTTATGAGTTGAAAAGTTGAGGAAGTGGAACGGCACAACTTGAACTCCTCAAAAACCCAAGAAAAAAAAGTTGACAACTCCAGTCTGGGGGCCCAGAAGCTTGTGCAGAAAGCAGAAGCCGCTGAATCCCCCCAAGTTTCTGAATAGGGCCCAGTTATCCTGGGGAGGAAAGGAGGAGGAGCAGGGCACATTTATGTTCCCCCATCCGACCAGCCCTTAAAAAATGCGGCTAAAAATAGCCGGGGTTGAACATGTGGCCGAGTGGCGGAATGGCTAAAATTAGTGGCGGGCGGTGGCGCGGAAACCCGGATTTAGAGCATGAGAAATATGGAAAAATCCATGGAATTTAGGTAGAATTTCAAGGCTGAAATTGACTTATATATACTTTTAAGCTTTGAACTATATAAATCGTATTAGAAAACATTATAGATCGAATTTATATATCAAATTTAAGATCCATTTTGCGCTTAGGACGTTCTTAAAATGTGCCATTTAAAGTCAAGTCGTCCATTTTAAAAGTTTTCAAATAATAAATTTCATTAAAATACAATTAAAACAAACCTTAAAAAGATTTTATGCCCTAAATTTATATAATTAATGAGGACAAAAATATCTATAACGTAAACAGTCACACAAAGGCGACTTCCGCTTCAAAGAATCTATAAAAATTAGATATTCGACCACAAGATACAAAAACACCAAAAAATACCGAAAGAAGCGATTCCGACCCACTACAAATTCCGCAGCGCACCTACATACACCCAGCTTATGAGTAACCCCCCGGTCGCTTCCTAAAAACGCCCCAAAAAGAGCCCCCACTAAAGCGGCTGTTTTTCCCGGGGCGGGGAGTGGCTCAATTCGAGCGCGGCCCGGGGGTTCCATTTTTGATGTGGGGGTCGGTTACGTAGTCCTCTGCTGCCCAAAAGGTTCGAAGATTCCGTCTGGCGCCTATGTACGCCCTAACGGGCCAAGAAGGATAGCAGAGGAAATTGTTTGGGTGACCTCTGGGTGTTTGCCCAGCCTGTTGTTCGAGGAAAAAACATTTGAATTCGGGAATCGGGGGCGTGAAGGCGTGAAATGGGTAAAGTCTAGGTTGATTTATGACGTTTTAAAGGAGCTGGCAGGGCATGGCTATAACACAGTAGCAGATCCGTCATGAATTCACTATAATTACTATAAATGTCAACCCCCGGCGACACGCCACTCACCCCTGAATCTTTAGTTCGTAACCGATTAGGGTCCGTTTAAACCTCCAGTCTCTTGTGCGTCGCGAAAAAATGCGTAGCGCCGTGACGCGGCCGCAATATGCAACACGCCTGTTTTTCCAACGCGTCACGGATTATGACCGCTTAAAGCAGCAAGGCGTGGCGCGTGGCCTGCCTCGTTCGCGGGTGAAACCATAAAAAAATCCTCATGCTTTGCCAGTTCCTTTAAAACGGTAGTACCTGATGAAAAATTTGCATAATGTTTTGTGTAAAAGCTGTCGGTTTTAAATAACAATGATTACCGTAGCTTAACGTTTTTTTTGGAAGTAAGGACAAGATAATGACGAGAAAATTTTTTGAGTTATCCATTTCCTAATTCCTTTCCAGCTGACCTCCGTCTGCTAGCCCTCAAATTTAATGAGGACAACCCCATGCAAGTCCTCTTCCCCCAAAAATTCCCGGAATTAATTAGATATTTGGAAAATACGCAATTTCAATTTCTGGATGAGAAGTTCCATGCAAGAACATGAATGTCTGAAGGGAGGAATTTGGAGTTTGGAAGAATGGGGGCTGTCTGGAGGGCAGGGGGGCAGGCTAGCAGGGGTCATTGAGGAATCTGGGTTTTTTAAAATTTGACGACTTAGAATTTTTTAGGTTGAGCTAGCAGAAAGAATTGGGCGATGTTGGAGGCAAAACGGATCTGAAAACCAGAAAAAGGACAAGCTAGCAGAGGGCATTAGACAATTCTGGATCTTAAACCTCTACGAATTCTTCAAAAAGGCGTGCTCGCAGGGGAAAATTTAGAAATGTAGGATTTAGAATATCAGGTGGTTATTCCTGATGTCTTAAAACCAGGCAACCTAGCAGGGATTTTTTGTGGAGTGTTTAGATTGCTAAAGCATTGAAAATTAGTCAGGGCAAGCACAAGCTGCCAGAGAACATTGAGGAATCGGGATTTTGCCCTTTTTTACCAAAGCGCTGGTCCTTCTAATGGTCAGGGCAAGCTAGCGGAGGCACTTTTTGGAACTTGATTTCGCAACCCCTAGAGTAAAGCCCAAAAGCTCAACTACCTTTCAAATTCCCTTTTTGCCTATAAGCACCGCCCAAAAAATTCGGCGGGCAGAAAATTGGAGAATCAGCGCCCCCCGGATGGCGACTCAAGGATTTCCTGCTCCTCTCGAATGCAAATAGGCTCCATCACCTCCCTCTCCTCCTGAAAGCCATCCAGTCGGGCGGCGTTCCGCGATACACCTCTTTCCGCCCCTCCTCCTCTACTTCCTGCTCCCGTGGATCCCCCCGAGCAAATGCCCCAGCCGACATGTGTTTTTTGCAATTTCGGCCTATGCCGTTTGGCAATTTGGGTAATGGCTCGGTGAGTGAGCCGCGAGAGGGTCATAATGTAGAGACTAGGAGGAGCCGAACACAAATTGGCCGAATCGCCGGGGATTGCGAGGATCTTTGAACACGTCTGGGTTCGCTGTCGAAGCCCAACACACGCTAAAATTTGGGGCTTTTGGCGATTTATTCAAACGGATGGCTCTTGAGCCGAGAAACGTTAGAAGTACAATTTGATAAGCCTTAAGGGGAGGCTGACAGCCAGAATGGCGCAAAAAAGCGAGTTTTTGGGTTGGACTAAAGCAAGCGGGACAGGAACTCGGAAACCTGGAAGCGTTTAAACGCATTAATAGGAGTTGGCCAAATCCTAAAGGCGTGTTTTTGCACCACTAAAGGCAGCGCGACAGCTAAAATTAAGCAAGAAAAATCAAGCCTTCAGGTGAGCTAAAGGGGTCGTGACAGGAAGACCGAGGACTAGAACCTTCAGGCGGAGTAAAAGCAATCTACTGATCAAGAATTTGTCCAAAAAATCTATTCTAAACCATTAAAGGGAGCGTGACATCAACCGCCAAACTTTGAAAACTCTGTATCGATATTAAGGGTGGCGAGACGACAAGCTATCCAAGCTTCGAAAATTAATGCTTTGAAAATAGAAAATAAGCTTTAAAAATCACTCAAATTGATGCTAAAACTGCCGAAAAATCAGGGAAAAAAGAATTTAAGTTCTTCCAAAAATCCCACAGTAAGATAAGTTCTTCCAAAAATCCCACAGTAAGATTTAGGACTAGATTTGGAGGGTGAAATGCACAGCAGATTTTTTTAGGAGCTTCAAGCGGATCAGATTTCAACAAAACATTTCCGCACAAACACGAGCCCAAAATTCAGAATGATCTCAAAGATGCCCTTAAAGCCACTAAGCATCAGCCCCGAACGTTTTTAGGCGGGCAGTTGTGTACGCAAACAAACCATTCACCGCCTAAAAAGGGCACTCCCCTTGCCGAAAAAAAACCCAAAAACGGGTTGCCCCGCGTAGTCGTTGGGTGGTGAAAGCGGGGTGTTTATTTTGAACTCCCCACCCCCAAAAAGGACCCATGATGCCTCCAGCGTTGAGAGGGCTGATTTTTTGATTCAACTTCTCCGGCTAGGCCAGGCGAACCCTACATTTTGGGACATTTCAGGGGGGT